TTTCTCCCCAAATCCCCCCCGGTACACAGTTGTATATTTTAGTTGTGGGTCCTTCTAGTTGTGGCATGTGGGACGCCGCCTTAATGTGGCCTGATGAGCGGTGCCATGTCCACGTCCAGGATCCAAACCAGTGAAACCCTGGGCCGCCACAGCAGAGCGTGAGAACTTAACCACTCGGCCACGGGGCCGGTCCCTATAAAGTTTAAGTTTAATTCTTTAGCATCAAAATTGTCAATCACTTCTTGTCCTTTTGGCTAAGAGCAAGTGTACATCACAATTCTCTTACTACACAGACAAAGCAGTGCTGTCTCTCATCACATCAATCATCTGCTGCAATATCATGTATGATGCACTATGATTAGAAGAGACCATTCTTTTCTTAACACTGTAATCAAAGTTTTAACAAACATTTATTTGAGGGATTAATCAAAAATGAGTTTCCCAAACTAGGGAGTTTAGTTAGCAGATTACACTTTATTCCTAGATCACATGAAATTTTATCAGCCTAATGAGGTCCCTCCCACAAACTGCAGTGGCAATTTAACACACGAAGAGCTCTCTTTCAGAATTCACACACAGGCCTAGGAAAACAAAACAGCACATTGTTAGCCTAGTCCCATGAAGGTGCAGCTGTAATTAGAAAATGTGATGCAATCAAACCACACTCTTGCCGTTGCTGCCCCCAAGAACATATGCCTGAAGTGACTGGCAAAAAAGAAAAAGCAAAAACCTTCCCAGCTCAACTCAGCTTCCTGTGTTCTCATGACACTTGCAGCTAGTAACCCTGGTCCTCCACATTGATTGATTTTGCTGTCATCACCAACCACAATGTTTACTTGGGAAAATTTCAAAGAGTTTGTACATTATACTACAATGGAGCTGTACCTCAGAACCCATGAAGGGAGCCTTCTGGCCACAGCAGTGGGAACTCTCAGTGTACTCAGGGCAACTAGCACAGGGTCTTCCTTTTCTAAAATTTCTATTTCATACCTTTGAGGTGGAAGACTTCAAAGGAGTTGCTATAAACTGCACATGTACTTGCCCCCCAACTCCTATGTTGAAACTTAATCCCTAATGTGATGGTATTTGGAGGTGGGACCTTTGGCAGGTAATCAGGTCATAAGGCAGAGCCCTCATCAGTAAGATTAGTGCCCTTATGAAAGAGATCCCAGAGAGCTCCCTTGTCCCTTCCGCCACATGAGGACATGGCAGAGGACCACTGTCTGTGAACCAGGAAGTGGGTGCTCACCAGACACTCAATCTGCCAGTGCCTTGATCTTGAATTTCCCAATCTCCAGAACTGCGAGAAATAAATAAAAATGTTTATTAAGTCACTCAGTCTATGGTACTTTTGTTATAGGAGCCAGAACGGACTACGACAGGAATAGGGGGAAAAAATCTCCACTTAACCCATCCTCATTCATGCAGATTATTAATCCAAAATCTTAGAAGGCAACACTTCGCAGAAAAGTCAGGGTGAAAAGTGCCATGTCTCTCCTGCTCAAGTAGCATTCAATCTCATGTGGTTTTCAATTTCTGGTTTTAGTATGTTTCTGGAGAAGCAAAGTCTTGAGTCAAATTAACTGACTGCTTTTCAACAAGCACATGTTCACATTCTAAAAAAGAACTTTCAAAACAAAAATCCAAAGGTTGCACACTCTATGATTCTGTTTACATAGCACTCCTGAAAAGACAAAATTATCATGATGGAGGACAGATCAGTGGTTGCCAAAGGTTAGAGATGGAGGGAGGGTCTGACTATGAAAGGGGAGAATCTTCTGTGTGGTGAGGGAGCAGTTCTGTATTGGATGGAGCAATTCTATACCCCCTACTAGCAGTTCTGATAGTGGTGGTTACATGAATGTACACATGTGATAAAATTTCTTTAGTGCTATACACACATAGACAAACTGGTGAAATCCACATAAAGACTGCCGTTTAGTAAATACTACTGCACCATTGTCAATTTCCTGGTTCTGATCATGGGCTATGGGTATATAAGCTACGTATTATCACGGGGAAAGCTAGGCAAAGAGTACACGAGAACTCTCCTCACTGTTCTCACAACTTCTCAGTCTTAAATTCTATCAAAATAAAAGGCTTTTAAAAAGCCCATCGTTTTTGGTAATGCTTTGTTCACAATATGGCAAGAAATTAAAACAGTCAAAAGCTTTTCAACATTTCTCAAGAAGGGAGTTGTTTGGGAATACTGGACAAAAGTGTTAAATTAAAATAAAAAGTTGAATAGATCAAGATTTTTGCACTAAGTTAAAAACACATTCCATCGGACAAAAGTACACATCAAAGCTACTTTAAAGACTGATGACACTGTTCATCCCATTAAATCAGAAAATCTTCTTTGCAATATGCTTCTTTGCAATGATGCTTTACAATAGATGGGTCTATTTTTATCAACTGAAGTCATCATAAAAATCATATTAACTCATTATACTTTTGTCCATACAAATAAACCACTATTTAAAACATATTTTATTTCACACCTCCCTACACAGAAGCGTACTATGAGAAAGTGCTGCAAGGCATTTTGGAACCACTAAGATGCTCTACTGAATTTAATCAGTTTGAGCAACTTCTTATGAAAATTCGAATAAATGGACATATAAAGTTTATTAGAAGAAACACAAAATCAGGTTCATAACAGAAGATAAACTGTATCACAAGTTAATAAAAAGCAAAAATGTGGACTCAAAACAAACTCGTTTCAATAACTGCAACAATTTCTTCTACGTACAACTTTCTAATGAGGGATTCATTTTAATTAGAAGTGACTGAATGTGAACGAGTGAATAGAAAGAATGTGGAGATAGCTTAATGTGGTGTACTCAGACTTTATAAGAAGTGGTTATCTTTCATCAATTTATTCCTCCAGAAGGTGGGGATGACCAAGACCCTGCCCCCGCCATCAAGAAGTACAGCCTAGTGGGGGAGAAAAGCTGTAAACAACTAGGTAATTATCCTATGTGGTAAGCGAAAAAAAGCCAAGTATATATGAGGTACAAAAATAGCCTAGGGAGTGACTGGCTATCTGGGAAGCGAGAAAAGGCTTCACAAACCAATAATGCCTGAAATGAACTTTAAAAGATGTAAAGCAACTAGCCATCAAGAGGAATAGCTCCAGACTGAAGAAGCAGGTTGTTTAACGGCTCTATAAGCAGCTCAGTACTGATGGAACACAAACTAGAATGGGGTGGGAAGGAAATAAACGAACGCAGGAGCTGTTCAAGGACTACAACGGGTTCCACCTGCTAAGCTGAACAGGATGGAATTTACCCTGCAAGCAGTGAGGAGCCACTGTCATGATTTTTAAAAGGGAGAAAATTAATCGGACTTCAAAATGTTCTAATTTTTAAAATTAGAGTTCAAATAGGCATTTAGTATTTCAAAATTATGAATAACATACGAGCTACCTTATGAAGCTAGAGAAAAAATTCATTTAATTATGTAATTATGCCTTTTAAACAGTATCTGCCTGGCATATTATCTAACAAAATATACTTAGTATTTGATAAATGTTTGATGAATGAACTGTCGCAGCCGGATTGAATACGAGTGGGCATGATGCTTGATAACAAAGATCTTAAAATGTACAGTAGCAAAAGGTACAAAAGCTTGTTAAGGCTCAAGTCTCGGGAAATAAGCCCCGTCCTCGAAAGCAGACAACCTTTCTCATACTGACTTCTTTTTCTTCTATATAAGTTATTGGTAACAACCAAAGCCTTCCATTCTTTTCCCTCCCTTACTTCCCTCTCCTTACTTGATACTCCTATATAAGACTCCCAGCCATCGCCCTAATTAAGCCTTCCCTGACACTGCTCGAGACGAAGTCTATTATCTTCTCCCACAGCCTCAGCTTCAAAACCTCAGGAATCCTCTACTGTTCTAATTCTAAAATGCTCATAACCATTTCACCATCAAACGTTGCTAGATTACCTTATAATGCCCACAGCTACCACCTCAGACCTCACTTTGATCACTTGAAACCTACACCTCCACAGCTCCACTCTCCCCATTAAGTCCTACACATTTCATTAAAGCAAGGAGTACAGAATTCGGCATTCCCTAAATTCAGGCGTATTTAACGTGTGGTCGGTCATTCTAGAGGACTAGGTCAGCAGCTTATTACAGAGCGAAAGGCCTGTCACCAGACAAGGGTTCGTGTAACCCCAAGACTGCAGGCCCAGGGGAACAAAGTCAGCCAGCACTTGCTGTTCGCACCCCGCCTCCTCCATTCTCGCAGAACGGGAAGCGGCCGGGAAGAATGATGGATGGGCAAAAGGGAGGGGGAACGGAGGAGCCAGAGGCGGGGGCCTCACTTCCGATGGCCACGCTACACCGAGAAACCCGAAGGCCCTAAGCCTCTGCCGCAGCGCGCAAGACAGGGCGCATCAGATTCCAAGGCTTCTCGGGTAGCCCCCACGGGCAGAGACACAAACAGAAACTGCTCTGAAGAAACAGTCCCCTGCCCGTTCACAACTTACCTGTCAGCAGCGGCGTGGACGGCGCCATCTTGTCCCGGAAAGAGAAACCCGTCCGCTCGGGTCAGAGTTCACGAGGGCCGAACCCGGCCCCTACACGTCTCCTCAGGCGCGGAGACGGCGGATTGGCGTTTCCGGGGCCACCAGCCTCGGGGCCAATCCACTTCCGGCTGCAGAGCGCCGCGGAGAAGGAGCCCGGCCGCGCACGCGCAACTCCAGGGCGACGCTCCACAGAGCGGGGGCGGGCGCTCTCCCTCCCCCCGGGCAGGCGGAGCCCGCCCTTCCGCGGGGCGGGGCCCGGCCGGTGCTGACGTTGGCAGCCGAACCCGAAGGAGCTCGCGGCGCCGGGCTGCATCGTCCGGTTGTTGCGTTCGTCGCCTTCCTCTTCCCTCCACGCTCCCGGCGGCGGCGCGGGACTCCGGCGGCCCGTCCTCTGCTCCCGCGCGCCGGCCTCGCTCGGCGGCCGGTCGGCGTCGTCGGTCGGTCGGCGGCCCGCGCCCCCCGCGCCCCCCGCGCCCAGGCCCACCGCCGCAGCCAGCGCCCGCCCGGGAGCTCCTGCCCGGCGGCGCGGCCCGGGAGCCGAGCGCAGCGCCGCAGCGGCCGCGCGGGCGGGCGGGCGAGGCGCCGCGAAGATGGTCGCCAAGCAGCGGATCCGGATGGCCAACGAGAAGCACAGCAAGAACATCACGCAGCGCGGCAACGTCGCCAAGACCTCGGTGAGCCGCGCGCCGCCGCAGCCCCGGGAGCGGGCCGGGGGCCGGGGGGCGGCGCGGGGGCCGGGCCGCGGGGCGCCCCGCGTGTGAACCCGCGGCCTTTCCTTTTGCAGAGAAATGCTCCCGAAGAGAAGGCGTCCGTGGGACCCTGGCTGCTGGCTCTCTTTATTTTCGTCGTTTGTGGTTCTGGTGAGTGTTCGGGGGGCTTCCCTGCGGGAGGGTGGTGGGGACGGGTTGGGATGACGTGGTGACCCATCAGTGGTGGATCCTCCCCGCGTGGTCCTCAACCCACCTGCCGGGAGCGCCACATGATTCGGTTCCCTCTGAACCAAATTGCTTGTCCCACATATGTGCTCCAGAAACTTCTCCCGGCTTGGTTTGTGCCCACGGGAGACCAGGAAAAGGAGGTCGGGTCCTTAGGAATGGTCGACTTGGGAGAAGTCCAGACCGACACAAAAATACCCCCGGGGGTGAGAGTCGAGAGTGTTTTGTAGCCCCATTATCAGTGCCTTTGCAGAACAGAAGCCTGTGAGTATCGTGTCCATATGGGTGTTCGGACTTATTAATACAACCCAGGATCTGATGTCTTTATGTCAAAGTTGGGTTTATTCTATAGAGTAAAGCTAGTACAAAGGATTGATCCACTCCAGAGGAAATGTACCTGCTTGGGAATTTAATGTATGAGACCAGTGTTTTGAGATTGATGAAAGAAACGTTTGACATATGGTAGGAAAAATTAGTTATCAGAGCAGCTTGCTGTTAGAGGAACAGACTCGTGTCTCGGCAGATGGATTACAAAATGTCTTTCCTCTCTCCGTTTGTTATTTTAACGTGCGAGTTGTCGATGTGGAAGTCCGTGTTTCTGTTTTCCACGTTCTGACATTCTCAGGTTACTGAGATTTCTCAAACTGTGCACTTGCCTGTCTCCTAAACTTACCAGTTGGAAGCTTTCCCTGATAAATGGCCAAGAGCCAAGCAATTTATGTAACCTAAAGATTATTGAGTTTCAGCTTTGTGAGAATGAGGAAACATGCATACATTGTAGGCCAGGCCTTGAAAGGACATTTAATATTTAGGGATAAACCAAAATAATTGTATGCTAGAAAAAGCTGTTTGCTTTGATGCTTTAAAAGTTCTTTCTAAAATGATTGCTTATTTGTCAACTCTCTTGGACAGTTAGACAAAATTCAGAGAAGCTGAGATTGAAGAAAAATAACTTCCGGACATTTAATTGTTTTATTAATGCAGGCCAGCCTGTTTTCACTTCTTATTACAATGAAGTTACGTAGCATTTGCCAGTAACTGTAAGGGTGCTCTTGGAGTCTTGAACTACCTTAATAAATATTTGTCAGTTGCAAGATCTGTTTTATTCAAAGCATGTTTTAATATTTGCTCTTTCTCTTTACAGCAATTTTCCAGATTATTCAAAGTATCAGGATGGGCATGTGAAGTGGCTGACCTTGAGATGTTTCCATTCTCCTGTGAATTTTAACTTGAACTCATTCCCAATGTTTGATACCCTGGTTAAAAACAATTCAGTAAAGCATCCTGCCTCAGAATGACTTTTCATACCATCCTTCGTGTGTCATTCCAAGGTTTCTTCACGAGTCATTCCAATTTTCTAGTCCATACCACAGTGCCTTGCAAAAGCACCACATGAATAAAGCAATAAAATTTGATTGTTAAGCTACAGTAGTGGACCCTACTTATTCAGTCAGTAAAGAGTAAGTTTTTTTTTAATGTGGCTATTGAAACAGTATACCGTATAGATAATTAGATTAAATCTGTGTAGACAGGGTCTAGATTTTGTTAATCCTGATGTGTAAATGCAATTAGCTTAATTTAAAATTCGGAATCTCATGGTTTTCATATAGCTAGGCACTTTATTACTGTTTCTTGAATTGAAAGCACACTCCCATACAGGGTCTTCTAACTGTCCTGTAATAAAGTGCTGATAAACGGAACAACTAGGCAGTCTAGTTTTCCCACAATCTTTAGCACCTAAAAAATTTTAAAAGCTTGTAAATGCCTAATATAAAGGCAGATGCTAACAACCACAATGTCTGTGTTAACAATATTATTTCTATGACACGACCTTGGATTTTGCATGAGGGAACATGCTAACCTAAGTTGCCGTAAGAAAACGTGGGTTAGCGTTTTGCAACTTCTTCAGTCACTTCAGTCTCACTGCAAGCTGCCGTGGTGGGGGAGAGTCAGAGAAGGTTTGCTTGTGTCACCATCGATGGCACCGGAATTACTTTAATGTATCAAAGCGGGGTCTACTATGCTAGACAACGTTTTAAGGGAAAATACTACTAAAAATGGATGCCTCGTCAGGACATACTGTTGAGTCCAGTGTGCCGTAAGATGTTAGCATGTTAACAGCACTTTCAATACCAAAAAGGGCACATCAACTAAAAAGTTAGACTTAGTTTGGGAATGCTTTTTCTAGATTTATGATTAGAATTCTGTTAGGGTATTAGGTAGACTAAAGTGTCATCTGCAATTAAATGGATTTACTGACAAGGATCAGTCTTTAGTCTTCCCTTTGTTTGACTTTATAGGTTATGATTGATCAAACTTTCTTTTTACTAACGGTAAGGGTGAGTGATAAGGCAGGTTTTGGGTTTCTTGGTACTATTGAAAATTGCAAGCATTGGCTATTTAAATACTTACCCATAACTTGATGAAAAAAGCCTGAGAAGTGTCTATGTATTAATGAATCGGAAAGAAAGCTGCTCGTTTGCTTTAATTGCCTCAGGATATCTCTTTTAAAATAAGCTGTTTTAAGAGGACCTGAAGGGAAATGTGCTACCTAGTCTACACACGGTGTGAGTCTCAGAGAGCGCCTCTGATCCCCCGAGTGTGGGGGGAGCGAGGGAGAGGAGTTGGTAAGGATGTGTAGGAACTTGAGTACTCTGGAATAGAAAAGGAATCGGCCAACCTTGCGCCAGCAGGTTTTCATCTACATTGTTACCTGCCTTTCTCACCCAGGAAATCAACCCCTGTACTTGTTTCCCTCTTTGAAACAAGTGTCCTGGTTAACATTCTGTTTCATTGTAACTTTAAAAATGAAAGTTACTCTAAATTCATAGCAGGTGCCTTATTCTTTGCTTTGAGTCAGACCATTCCATAGCAGAATTTCCCTTGGTGTACTATAATTGGCTTTAAGATGTTGGTTTTTTTGTTTTTGTCTTAATGCACAGTGTATTAATTTGACTGTTAAATTGCTATAGCTAGCAATCGTTCTACATATGTGAAGTTGCATTCCCTTTGTATTTCATGTGTACTTTACCGATTGAGTACATTTTATACTAAGGATGGATTATGCATGTTTGGAACAATGAAAGCTATGTCTTATTTGATTTATCCTTTAAAAATAAAGTTCCCTGAATATTTGATGGCTTCTAAAAGGAAGTGATTTTACAGAGTTCTTATCTGAGTGTACTTTTTATAGTTAATAGACAATGATTTTACAGAATGAGTAGTAGTACGTTGTATTTGAGTTAAAAGAAATAGTTCCCAGAGGCACAGATTTAAGGTTAAAACTGGGAATAGGTAGCAAGAAAAATACATAAAAAGCACAATGAATTAAATACTTCCCCATCCAAGATTTACGCTCAAGGCATTGAGTCTGCTTTAAGGGAAAAGCACAGTTCTTTTGATCTCTGTTTCCCAACTGAATTTTATATGTCATCAAATGTTGATCACAGTATGAGAATAAATACTTTATTGGGGTTGTCTACATTGTCCAATTACTTTTTGTAATTTAGCTATAACATTTCAAGAAGCTGTCAGTGATTTCATAGTATCTGTTGGGTTGTATATAGTGTTGCTCAAAATAGAGTGGGCTTCCAAAGAAAGTAAAGATTTTCGTTGTAATGGAGTGCATTGTAATGGGCTTGGACTTAGGACGCTGAAGAACTGTGGGTTCAGCTGAGGCCCTGGCTCTTCTCCCTGAGGTTCCTGGAGGTTTACTGGCACCGAGGATTACCGTGCAGCTCCCAGTTATGTTCTTGGGAGCCACGCCAACAAAATGGCATTGTGCTTTAGCATCTGTAAAATTTAGAACATCATCAAATTTTCCACTTAGAAATTGATCTGAAGTTTGATTTGTCCTTACCTACCTTTTTAGTTGTTTTTTTTATTGTTTTAGACGTAAACCACAACTTTAAGAGGTAGGAGTTGGGTTCAGCTGCAAATCGTCCGTCAGCCCTCAGAGAACCCTTTCCTGTGTGAACTTAGCCCGCTCTCCCTGCTAGTACTGCTTTCTCGTCAGTTGAACCAGGACAAAAATATCCTAATTTGGAAAGAGTACTAACGAGCAATCAAAGGCTGGAAATTAAGCTGAAGGGAAAAATTCAACTGTCTGGACTTAAATAATTCAAAGTAAATTCATGTAGATCACAGAATCATAAAGATAGAAAGGACATGGGAAATTTAGTCCAAGTGCCTCAGTTTGCAGATAAATAAAAAATTCATTTATTCAATGAATATTGAGTAACGTATGGGCCAAATGTGGAGTTAGAGCTGTGAATACAGAATCCCAGCACTTAAGTGGGGGAAAGACAATAAAATGAAGCGACCAGAATTGTGATAAGTATTTCCAAGGAAAAGTAAAACCAGGTCAACGGTGTCTGTCCTTGGGGAGCTAGTGCAGGCAGAGTAGAAACAGAGCAAGTTTCCTTGACCCACGGTGCCCTCGGGGAGCCAAAGGAATGATTGCAAAACTTCCACACGAACACTTCTGTTTTCATGAGCTCTTCGCTTCTGCTTTTAGAAGAGCTCTTAAATTTTTTTTTCATGTTGCCAATTCAAAGAAGAAAAAAAGAACTTGTCCTTTTATGGATGCAATTTCTTTTGAAGATGAATAAGTGACAAGTTTACTCTTGGCATTTCCTGTACAGCCCCAAAATATGAAGATTGAATCAATAATGTTATCCACTGTAACATATTCGAGTACATTTTTAAAAAGTATTTTGCCATAATTTATTGTATTTTGTTTTAAAATTTTTCATCTGTGATGTTGAAAAATAATTCTCATTTGATAGTCCAGTAGTCAAAAACATGCAGTCATGTGCCCTTCATAGATAGATTTTATATCTAAGTTTCAGTGAATAAACCCTGTGTGGCTTCTTTTCCAGCGTGCAAAGTTCTACTTTGGGATGCAGATGGAATTAAAACAAATCCGCAAGTTTAAATAATTAAAACTATGATTTTCAATATCATTCTTTTCTCACTGCTGTGGAGAAAGTCTCTGAAACAGTGGAATGAGAATAATTGATTTTAGAGCTGCAAGGAACTTGAGCAATGATCTGATTGACCTTTACTTTACTCCTGAGGAAATCATGGCCTAGAAGAGTTCTTTGCCATCACCGATGAACCAGTAGCGGGGCAAGGATTAGAAAACTGGTCTTGTGATCATAACCAAACGGGCTCTTTAATATACTGAGTGCTAAGGAATTAAGATTCTTTAGGACTGTCTCATTTCATTTTAGGAGGTGGTTTATTAATCTCATGAACCGCTGTGAGTGTTCCGTGAAGGTAAAATCTGAAGGTTTAATCAACTTCAGTGGCTTCCCACTGCTGTTGGGATGAAATCACTCTTTAGCTTTGATTTTCGTGGCGCTTCACGACATGGCCCAACCTACCTTCCCACCCTTGTCCCCCACGGCTCCCCTCCATAGCCCTGTTCCAGCCCCAAGAGTCTACTTTCCCTTTTCAGATACCTCGTGCTTTCCTTGAGTGTTTTTGCTCATTTTCCCGACATTACAAAACTGTCTATCCTTCAAAGTGTAGCCTAAATTTCGCCTCCTCTGGGAAGGTTTCCCTCGCCATATGAGTCAGAAACTCTCTCTTTGGGATTGATGACTCTGGACTAGTGAGCATTGATTATGTTACTGCACACAATTGCGGTTCTCTGCCTGATGTGCGTAAGAAGCCAATTAACTATGACATCAGCCTTTGGGGAAAGAAGTCAGCTTTATTCTGTCAGATTCATCTGCAGGGAGACAAGGGGGTGTGTGCCCTCAGATCTATCTCCCCGATTCAGGATTTGGGGCAAAATTTAAGAGTTTAGGGAGAACCGACTGGCACGCAGAAACACTGGCGGGACAGGTTTTGATTGGTGGGCTTCTAAACGTTTATGACAGAGTTCTAAACATTTACAATGAGGCCCTAAGCATTTCTGATGAAGTGGGGAAGGAATTTTAACACCGGGTCTTCCTGAACGAGGGACCCCCTGCTTCTGATAAGAGTCCGACTTTCAAGTTCCACTTGTGTCCTGGTCCTTTGGCTCCATGGGGAGGCGGATCTTTGGCTCCGCAGTCATTTCGGGGCAAGACATTTTTGCACATGTTCTGGCTGTGTGACTTTGCAAATTTTCTGACTGACAACCCTTAATCACTCTGTTGGTAAGATGGGGTCAGTTGAACTGGTCCCGGAGGGCCTGTTACCATTATGTTATCATATTTATTAGTTTTCTCTCTCAGTTTCTCAGCTAGAGTATGGAATCCTTAAGAACAAATGCCATCTTTCCTTCTTTTTCATTCTTTTTTCATCTGCTCTTACCACCCCCAAGGCTAGTATGAAACTTTGTACACACAGGTGAGCTCAACATTTCAGTTGAGTGATAAAGTGAAAGAGAGCAACAAATGCCCCATCGTATCAGAATAATCTTTAAAGTAAGAATGTGTCTTGTCAAATCATCCACCCGTGATGTAACCGTCATCCCAACCACTTCCAATCCTGGCAACTCTGGCGAGGGGCTGGCTCAGCACCAGAATTCAGTCCACAACTCTCCCAGGATAGGCTTGATGTCAGTAAATACATCAACGGTGATATTTGTCCTTCAGTCATATTTGAGAACCGTTCATAATAAGTGTCATTAAGGAAACCAAAAGTGCTTTATAAAGAAAGCTGACACCTCGCCACACCAGTCTGTCCAGTTACGAGGAAGGAGTCCAGCAACCACACTTGCTGTTTAGAACAAGTGCTGGGGGCTGTCAGCTGCCCTGTCCCCAGCCCCATCCTAGGGCACAGGAAGGGGCAAGGGTGCCGCACGGGTGCACCCCTCTCCACACCGGCCAGTGAACCCAGAATGGCTCTGTGCCCCCCAAACCAGATCCAGTCCCCAGAAGGGACAGCTCATTCTCTTCACAAAGGAATTCCCTACGACAAGGCCACAAGAGATTGACTACCATTTAGGATGTGACCAGATCTCATACGTCGGGTGAAGGAGACTCCCAGGGCCCACAGCGCGCAGAGCTTGGGGAGGGCGCTTAGCTCCAGGCCGAGGAGCTCTATGGGCTGGGGCAGGGGTGGGGGAGCCACCAGGGCGCTGCCCATTTATTTCTGTTTGATGCGTGGGGCACCAATTAGTGAATAACTGTAAGATTCTAGGGCACAAATGCATCCGGGATTGAGACAGATTATAACTTCGGACAAAACCCAACTCATAAAGGTGAGTAAATCCTGGGAGTGTCCAAGCGTGTTTCTGCCTATCTCCAGCCTCCGTGACTCGTGTGCCACGCACCGGTTAATTACAGATGGGTCACACGGAGAAGGACGGTGCCACCCGAAGAGCATGACACCATCCCGAAATCTTGAAGTCATTTCTGCTTGATTGAGAACCGCATCAGGTGAGATCCCTTTCTTTTGCCAAACATTGCTTTACAGTCCATCTGCACCGCCAGGCACACACAGGGAGAGCAGACCAGCAGAGTTAGTACCCAGCCTGTGCCAGCCGTCCGGTCTCCCGCTGCTCAGAGTGGCCAGGGGACCAGCATAACCTGGAAGCCTGTCAAGTAGGCAGAATCTCGAGCCCCGCTGGTGGCCCGCTGAACCAGAATTTGCATTTTCACAGGATCCCCAGGTGCTGTGTCGGCAGATTAAACTTTGACGCTTGTTGAGGCGGCCTCTGAGTTCTGGTTTCCTGGCCTTAGACAACCCTCCCCCACCCCCCACCCCCTGCCCACCCTCCTTGGGCTTCATTCTCTTCACCTAAGAAAAAGGAAACACCCTACTGTCTCACGCAACTGTTATGAAACCTAATGATGGTAAAAGCACTTTGAAAAGTTAAAAATGTTCTATGCAAATAAGATTCCACTAACTTTGTGAACTGCAAAACCCAAGAGATCTCTGATAGGGTGAGGGGCTTTCCTCACTGACAACAAAAAGGAAGGGTGCCTCCACATTTGACTTGACAGGAAGTCACTGACTTTCTTAGGATCGCTTGCTCTTTATGCATCTGGGACCATAATTTTACCTTTCCAAAGTTTTGCCTTCTGAATGGCTTCTCAAAACTTACAGGACCGTGAATCATACTCAGCTAATTAGCCCCCACCATGAAATACTTTGCACGTCCCAGGTTCTCATGGAGGAGCTGTTGCATTTGGAAA